TTTTTTTTTTCCTGTGCTGTTGTTTGTTTTGGTGCTAAAATCTTCAGCAAGGATTTTAACACTTTTGATAAATGCACAGTTTTCTGTTGTACACAAATCATATAGATGTGGGTCTTCATTTGGAATAACTTAAAATCCTTTCCACTGGCTACATAAGGAAGGTTGCTGTCTGTGATGGTTAGGATTGCAGTACTGGAACACTAATGTCACAAGCTTCCTAGAAATCTACTTAAAAGAAACACTGTCCTTACAATATTTTGGGGATCAGGAGCATCATCAGCACCTTCCTATGTTTCCTGATGAGCTGCCTCTGCTATACATGTGTTAGTTTTTCCACCGTGGTTTTTGACAGATGTGTATCAGGCAAGTTGTTAAGCTTTAGGTGTCTGTTCCTCCTGTGGTAACTCTACATCAATTAACTCATTTTATAGTGATCTTTTGACCACACCTTCCTAGTGCTACAAAATCCTTTAATGTTATTGTCATGCATTTGCAAAGCTGTAATATTATTTTAAAGTATATATTAGTAATTAAGAACTTTCTCCCCAAAAAACTCAATTCAAGACATTGAAAGTGTGTTCTTAATGTGTGTCTGCCTTCACAGACATCTAGGCTGAGCTCTCATCTACTCTTAATAGATACTGTGCTGTAGATGATGTGTGTTTATGCAAAATTTTATTCCTAGAGGAATAACTGTGGCTGTATCAGCGGTTACAAATCCTATTATTTTAGTGAGATTGCCTAGCAAATACCCGTTTTGTGGGTGCTTATTTGACTTAATTCATTTAGACTGGGTAATTTTGAAACAAATGCCTATTAAAAGCAAGCTGACCACAATTTCTTTGAGCAGTTATGTTTCATGGATAGCAGAATCATTCAATTCTGTCAATAGGTTGGGAGCTGTGCGAGTGAGAACTTTGACGTGAGCCAAATTAGTTAATTCTGTGAACTTCAGCTTGGAGACAGGAGAGGCAAAACCCATGTACTTGTATTCCAAACCAGATGAGGACTCTGATTTTGGTTTCGGCAACCCTATGATAAGTTAAGAACAAAAATAAAGATCTCTAAGCTATTCCTGTAGCTTTATAAGCATTTTTTTTTTTTTTTTACATATAAATAAAAAAGATAGTTTTGAGGAACTTTATACCTGTATGGTATGAACTAAAAAAAGATTGTTGTACTTCAAAGTATGAGAATTCATCATTGCATTAAATGACAGATATTAATTAATAGACCTTCTCAGTCTAAAAATCAGGACTTTATGAATGGAACTGAGCAGAGCAGGTGCTGTGGGACTCCACTGTAAGGAAGTTTAGAGCAGACACTTCAGTCCAAAACGCTGTGGAGGAAGTCTTCTGACGTAAGTGCTGCAGTGTGGTTTTAGCTGGCATGGTGTAACTCATCATGTGTGTTTTGTCAGCAGTGATGCTCCTTAACGTGGGTTAAGCACCCTGCTCAGTTCTGCTCAGTGTGCGTTTGTATTCACATTATCATTGTCACAAAAACTTTGTTAGAAAGCTTTATGTTGGCCAAGCTGCTTAATTATTTTTTTTTTTAATTATTCATGTTCCTTATTTATACAGTGAGACTAAGGGATTTTGAGAACTAGTCATCAAAAATCTCTGGCTGTTATCATTTGAGACATATCATAGTGAAAATACAAAGTGCTGTCTTTGAAAACACAGAGCAGAGTCTGGATACTGCATGGCAAATGGAGCAGGATTTTGAGCAGTTACTCAAGTACTAGTTGCTGCTGCCTTCAATATGGTGTGATATGTTAGAAAACAGCTACTGGGTTATTGTGATGTACTCATGGAAAGCATAAATTGCCTATTTGTACATTTTTGGTTTGCCAGATTTTTAATGAAAGGTTTGAGGGTAACTTAATCTCGTGAACCTGCATGGCTTGTTTATTCTGTATCTTTGAAATCTAGGTTCCTTGAATTGATGGGGTTTTTTAAAATTCCTGATTTATCATGGTGGTTAAATTACATTCTGAATTGTGGTGTTGCTAACTTGCAAGTGTAAGGATTATCCCTCAGCAAGGCATCTTCTTAAATTTAGAACATATTTTAAATGTATCCACCAATAGTGATTTAGTTCAAGTTTCCTGAAATGTTAATTTACAAGGGCAATACTAAAGTTGTCACTAAGGGACTTCATTTTAACTTAAAATTCTTCTTTAATTTCAGGGGAAAATTTGCAGTGGTGAAGAAATGTATCCAGAAAGACACTGAAAAAGAATTTGCAGCAAAATTCATGAGAAAAAGAAGAAAGGGCCAAGACTGTCGGATGGAAATAATCCATGAAATTGCAGTCCTTGAGCTGGCACAGTGCAACCTTTGGGTCATTAACCTGCATGAAGTTTATGAAACTGCAACAGAGATGATCTTAGTCCTGGAATAGTGAGTATTAGTAATAATTCCTGAACAAGCTTCTGCAGTATTTGCTTAAAATTAATAATGTAAAAATATTGTGTATCATTATGAATAATGTGAAAATATTTTATTGCTTGCCTGTTATACCTGCTTGAGTTCAAAAAGAATTGCTAAGAAAATCAGTATTACAAGAAGTTATGTGCAGTCTTGTAACTACTGCAGATTATAATAAAATTCTCCAATTACGTAATATCTTTCAAAGTTGAACTATAATTTATGTAGTTAATCTTTAGTGAAATATGAACTGTGTACACTCCCTACTTGTAAAAGAGGAAGAGGAAGGAAGCAGTAAGTATCTGTTCAAAAACTGGAGTTTATTTAATTGACAGTGACAAAGATGGGGTGAAATCTGGGGGTTTTCTACCAGATATGGAAATGGTATTGAAAGCAATGTCATTGTTTAAAAGGAACTATCAAAAACCCCTTAGACCTACAAGGAAAACTTTCCAAATCATTATTTTTTGGGGAACAAAAAGAGTAGGAGGATTCAGACCTACTGAAAGTAGTTTCTTTCACATGATGTTTAACTTGTGACTCTACATTTCTCTTTGTGTTTTCCCCCCTTGAGTTTGTCCAGATGTGTGTTCTGCAGCTGTTGTGACTGTTCAGCCAATATGCCAGTGGCTTAGATGTTTGACATCTAGGTTCCAAGAGACAGCCACATGCTTGTTGCTGTTCCACTCTGTTAAGATCCTTTTCAAGCTCTATGGATTTTAAATAACTAGGAGAGGACCAGTGAGGCTCAATAGTTCAGAAGGGACTTAACCTGTCTGCTAAGATAAATCTTGTTTATACAGCTCTTTTCTTGCTTGAGAAGGAAAAGAAATGGTGAGAAATCTTGTGTCCTAATCTGATCTTGTTTAGAAGTCAAAAGAAGCTGTTTCTTTAAAGGTCAGTGAAATGGAATGAGACTGTGTGCTATGGTAAACTTCCTTCTAGAACACATTTTTTCAACTTCCTTATGCCCTTATAGAATTAATGATTTATGAAATATTCAAGTATCTGTTATAATGCAAAGGCATGACAGAGCTTCTGGAGTTTTAACTGCTGTTATTGGAGACTCATAAATACACACTTTAAATATTAGCAGCACAGATCTAACTAGAATACAGTTTAAATTTCTAGATCCTGTAGGAATATAGCACAAGCAGTAGAATCCAAAGCTTGATATGAGCAGTGGGTTTTGTGATCATTTTAATGCAAAATAGCTAGTTTTCTTTTAAAACTCAATTCTCTTACAGTTGCCAAACATTTTTAATCCAAAGCATTAACTAGGTGGTTAAGTAGTCACCAGGTTGTTCAGTAATTAGCAACATTATTGGTTTTATATGCATCGAAGAGTCATACCTTGTTTCAGATAAACAGCTGTGTGTTAAGAGTTGTAATTTACAAAAACAATCTTTCCCTGACTTCAGCAAATATGTCTGGATGCTTCTTTAATGTCAGCATGTTCCAGAAACGTGTTGCAACAAAACAGGTATGAATGTTAGTAGATTTCTGACATTCGGTATGCAGAGGATTAAAGAACATACATATCTAGACTGCAAGCTTCTCTGGGGCATTTCAGTTTCTATTAAGCTTGATGGTCTGTGTGGCAGATCTTTATCTTGGGAAGGAGAAAAACAAATACTTAATTGTTGGCCATTAACTTTATCTGCTAAGGTTTTACAGTTGCTGGTCTTGATGTTGAATCTGTCATAAGGAGTGAGGGGGACACCTAGTGCTTTGCCTTCATGAAGAGAAATATTAGTATTAGATGGAGACGTGGAGGATTGTCTTTCAAGTGCTATCAGTTTTTGACAGAAACCAAACTTAAAATTGGCCACTAACTGTTAATATTAAGTTCTAAGCAATAAGGGGAAGCAACGAGGCATTACAGTGTTGGCTTCATCTGTAGGATAGCAAATCAGTGGCTGCCTGCATCCACCCTGACAACAGGCTCTGACTTTTGTTTGTTGTCACAAGACCTCAAACAGAAGATTTAAGTAGGAATTGAAGGGCTAAGTAAGTCTGAAGTAAATTCTTTGGAAAGCCTGGAATTAATCTGTGGGTCAGTCATGTTTCTGTATTTCAGTGAAAATGGAATGAATGAAAAATAGAAGTGGACTTTACTGAAAAAAAAAAAAAAGTAGAGGTAAAGTCTAGGAAACACGACTCATCAGATACAAAAGGAAAAATCAAAATTGATAACTTCTGGGTTCAATATTTGTATGCAACCTACCTGGCTTTTTTCAATTTCTTTTGAAAGAAAGAGCAACTTCCTTGCTTACCATCTAGTGGTGTGCCTAGCCAAGGAAAGGAGGGTATGACTGTCAGCAGTAGTGAACGTGGACCTTTCACAGTGTTACAACCACCTTGGTTTGATCTTCTTCTAATACAAGCTCTGTGTTCAAAAAGTAGATCAATTTTCATTTATCTTCCAAAGATAAACCCTTTCAAGAAAGGCTTTTGACAGAGCATAAGATTCAGGAAGTAAGTTTTTGGTCCTTGCAGACTATATATGGTCTCGCTCAGCATTTGAAATCAAGTGTATTCTAGGAACTTGTTATCTACATATCTGTACTCTGAGGATTTGTACTTCTCAGTCTTTCTTAATGTCTGATCCATTAAAGCTGGAGGAACGTTTAATTTTTTCAGATGCATTGAAATAGATTTGTTCAGTCTTTTTCTAATGGTACACTAAATTACTGTGTTAGTTTATTGTTAAGTGCACTTGAAAGAAGTAGGATGCTAAATTCCATACAGGGCATTGTTAAGATATGTTTCAAGGAAGATAAGCAGTCTCCACTGAGTTTAAAGTCAACAGAACTGTAACCAAGATTAATGCTCCAGACTTCCAAATGACTTTTAGCTTGTTTATGCTGATAAGCAGTAATAAAATGTTAGCATGCTTTTCATTGATGAAGAGCAGTTGGATTTCACTTGAAACTACAGAGAAGTTAATAGCACAACAGTACTTTCATAAACAAATTAAAATAGCTTTTAAGTTTGGAAAAAATTCTTATGCATTTTTTTCATACACCTAGTTAAGGGAGTGTCTACTAGAGAAATAATGCATTCTAAGGAAAACTGGATTTCAAAACATGATGTTCATAAATAGTTCCTTGTTTTCAGATTGAGGGCTTGTTTTCCGAAGGACTTTCTGGTCTCAAGGACAATACTTTACTTTTATCCCCTAGGAAAGTTTTCTGTGGAGGTGTGGAAGGGGTGCCCTGTGGTTTGCAAAGTTCTTATTTCATAATGACCATTAGAAAAGCTACAGCTTAATGGTAAATGTGTTCTGAGAGGAAAAATGAGTAATAAACACCAGAGAACTCATAGTCTGTGTATATACAGAAATCCTAGCAATCACATGCCCATACTGTTTTCCTAGCAGGTATTTTAATTCCTTCTGTGTTTTGATTTTTTTTTTCCCCCTGAATTCTAGCAAAGGAATACAGAATAACTGAGTTGAAAGCATTGTTAAAGAGCTTGGCAAAATCTGACATAGGTGTGCAGAAGAATCTTTGTGGAGTTGGTTTTGACATTGTACTTCCAACCACTTGTGACTGAGTTGGCTCACAGCCAGCTGACTGTTTTGCTTAAGGGAATCAATTAAGCTCACTCCCCAGCAACAATCCACAAAACAGTCTTGCAGGAACAAATTTCCCCCCTGTTCTCATAAAAAGTTGCTAGTTACTTGTTTGAATGTGGTAATTTTGGAGACAGAATGAATTGTCCAGCAGGAGTTGTTCTGTCTGCATCCTAAGTATCAAAAGTCGATCAAAAAATGGAACGTTGCATGTGAAACCAGCTTTCCATGCTTATTTTTTGTGTCAAGCTCAGTGTATTTGTCTGTGGTAGCTGGGAATGGCTGTTTCCTAAGTCATGAAGTGGGTGTGCATGTGTAAGGGCTGCACTTGCTTGTCTCACTCTTAAAAATGCCGATGAACCTAGACATCTTCATAAGGGCTGCAAGGTACTTAAATACCTTTTTTTTAAAATAAAGTTTTTTGGATCAAGAGTTTTCTCCTCTCATGTGGCATTGCTGTCCCTTGATTTCAGTGATGGGACATTGCTTCAGCTTCTATTGCCCTGACTTTTAACGCATTTAATTCAAAGTTCTCTTGAAGTGTAGTATTAAAATTCTAGTTAGCTTGGTGCCTACTTCAATGGTAATTTGTTTATTAATGTAACTTAATTATAACAGATGTCTACCAAGTAGACATATAGCAAACAGAGCTTTATAAGGTCCCTGTTTTGCTGATTCTTTTCAGCTGGATCTATTAAAAATAAAGTTGACAACAGCAGGTTTTGGGTAGAAATCCTATTTCACAGAATTAAATGTCAAAGGTATTGTTTTGCTTATTGTAAGTGGCAGAGCCATACCAGCAGAATCCCCGGGTTGTTGCTATAAAACACATCGTGTTAGTAATTTTGGTAGTATATCTTATCTCTGTATGTACCTTATTATTCACTGCTACAAGGAATTAAATCATTCTTCCAAGCAACATATTGTGTCATTTTATAAGCAGAAAGTTTAATTTATTGATTACAGTAGATGTTTTTGTATCCCTGTCTTGAAGATCCAATTGATGCTGCTTTTTGAAGGAATTTGTTTTAGAATATTAGAATACACTAGCCTGTGTCCAATTTAAAAATGGCATTAAGATCTGAATCCTGTTCAAAGCTGAAATATTACTGACTTTTTACTGAATTAAATTAAAATGTGCTGAAGAAAGGTGTGATAGTGTCAGGTTTATGCAATTTTTTTTAGAATAATTAAAGTATTAATACTCCTTTGAAAACCTCATTTTATTCTTCAGCTCTATCATCTTTGATACATGATGAAGAAAAATAATTTAATGGACTTGTCTTTTTTTAAAAAGAAAATCTTAGTTTAATAAATGAAATTGTACTGCTGTACTAGTTAGCATATAGAACAGAAATATAAAACTCTTTAGAAAAAATTAAGATGTAACCCTCATTTAAATTCTTTTTTCTTGTAAGACAATCTGCAGGGAGAATTTTAAACGGTAATGAGAATATCTGGGAAGGCAGAAAACTTTTTTATAAACCATGAGGCCTTTTAAGGTACTAGGACTGTAACAGCAAAGTTAGTATAGGCAAAATGAAAATCTGAGTATATTTAAGTGTTCTTTTTCTAGGGGTACATAATCCAAATGCACCATTTTTGTAGGACTCACATTTGCTGTTATATTCATGTTGCCTCTCTGTCTTCTGGTTTGCCTAGGTAATGTAATGTATTAAAAAAGAGCAGGCAAAGGCAGAATAGAGGGCTGTGCCTCAATAAAGATTAACGCTTGTGCAAAGTCATGCTTGGCATGCCACCGTTTGGGGTAACTGGAGAAGATGCTGTCCTCAGGGGTTTCACCATCTTTCACTAAGGGATGATTATAGAATTTCACACAGAACAAAAAGTGTGTATGTGTTGATTTCATAGTAGTAATTCAACAATCTGTATGCAAAATGGCCCCACTCTAATGTTCTTATGCCCGTTCTTGTTTTAAGGTGGAGCCTCTGCTCTGCTGCTTTTACTTTTGATGCTACGTGGTTATGTTGTAAAACAATTTTAGTTCTCTAGAGCCACTGCTATACAGAGCTGGTACAGCATGTGGCTTCGGAGTACTTTAAAAACATTCATTCATCTCTAGTTATTTTTATAATTTGTTCCTTTGTTATTTAGTTAAACATATATAAACAAAAGATAAGGAAGCAAGCTGACAGCTGAAATTCTCAAAAGTAATTTTTAGATGAAAGCTATTTAGAAGCTTAATGCATCCCTGTATACCAGAGACTTCACAAACAATTCAGTTGTAGACCTCACATTTAGTCTTTTGAGTACATGCAGAGTGTTCTGAGGAGGACTGGGGGTTTTGCTTTGTGTTTACAAAGGCTTACCTTGGCCAAATTTCCATGTAGTTTCGTAGGAATGGCAAAAGGGACATCTTTTATGTAAACACTGCCCTTAAACAAATGTGGCATTCACCTTAAAGTATAGTCAGTAGTGTTTCCAAAATAGTCCCCAACATTTCAGTAGTATTCATATTCTCTAACCTAAGTGACTAAGATTTTTGCTTCTCTCCAAAGCTGCCATACTGCAGAGAAGTCTTCCTAGACTGTAAAAGTTTGCCAAACTTGAATAACTGAAAATATCACAATTGGATGCTACTGCCTGCTGATCTTGCTCACGCTAAATAAAATAGTGCAAGTAGAACAAAATGGGTGCTATAACTTAGTCTTTGGAATAATAAAATCTGTATTGTTCCGTAGTGCTGCTGGAGGTGAAATCTTTGACCAGTGTGTGGCTGAAAGAGAAGAAGCCTTCAAAGAAAAAGATGTTAAACGACTTATGAAGCAGATCTTGGAAGGAGTTTCATTCTTGCACAGAAACAACGTGGTTCACCTTGACTTAAAGGTAAGATTGTTGCTGTGTTTTTCTCATTAATTTTTTATCTGCTAACTTTCTTGTTGGTCATATGTCATACTAATGCTAACTTGTAATTAACAGTAATTTTTATCTAGTTATTCCTCAAACAATAAAATGCAACCTTTGGGATGCAGTGGGCACCAGGGATGCAAGCCTTGCTAATCGTATTTCTATGATTATGTCAAATATAAACTTCATTTGATGAAGTGAAATGTAACGAATTCAGAAGTAGATTTGTGTTGCATCTTAAATGGTGAATGAGTGCTCGGGGTAAGACCTGACTCATTTTTAAAGTGCAATAAAAATATCTGGGTATTACATGGCCATTGAAAAATAGGTTTGCTTTTTGTATTGACTTGAGTTTTAATGAAGGAGAAGGATGGCAGAGACACTGTTATAGTGTTAAGTGTAATGTTTCAGAATGAAGTGTTCATATAGGACTGGAAAACAGTATATTAATGTGCTAAATACATTTATAACACTTCAGTATTTTTAAAAAAATTATTATGAAACTTAATTTAAATGTTTGTCATTTACTGCCAAACAGTTGGCTAACACCCTATTGATATATAAAGTATCATGATTTACTGGAGTAAATATTTTTTCCTTATTGAAAAGCAGTTTTGACCCAAATCAAGAGAAAAGTACAGTTGCCATTGTACAAAATTCAGAGCATTGCTTATGGTTAAGAAGGGAGTTGTAACAGAGATCCAGAAAACTATCCTCTCCCATTGGCAGCAAGCTGCAGTTAATTTTCTTTCGTTTCCATCTATACACTCATATGGAAGATGCAAATTTATCTCATTCTGAGGTTGAACTTAGGTATTACTAAGCAAGGCAGTATAAAAAGTATCTTACATTAAAATTTTTGAATTATTTTTACGTGTTCAATTCCCATATTTACTAACTATGTCGTAAGCTGCTACATGTTAGTTCTGTTCTCTTGCTGAGATCCTTACTTACACTTAATTGCATTTTGGCAGTATTACAAAGCTACCAGCAGATTCCAGTATCACGCTGTACATACTTAATGTATAACCTAGCACATTATGAACCACTCATCAGCTAAAGCAGATGATGAGTAATATTTACACACAAATATGTCACCCGCCTGGTTTTCCACTCATTTATTCAAATTATCTGTGGAGTAGCCCATTGATTTAGTCATACACGTAGAATATTAATAATTGTACTAAAATAATTAATGGAAAATTTTTAGCAAGTGATGTGAGAATAAGTGTTCAGAAGGACTAAAAAATGAGCAGTTAGAATTCCTTAAAGTTCCAGTATGTTTATACGAGGTACTGTGTCTCTACTATGGTTGGCCATTGAATTTCTTTGCTTCAAAGTGTGCAGAATTAAAACATATCTTTTGTGGACAGTATATATTCACACATGTTTGTAGTTAAAGCTTTATCAATGGGGTATCTGTAACCAGAAATGCGTTGGGCTTTGTTTGACTAAGATAATGACAAATTAGACTGGGGTGTGCATTACAGATTTCAGACAGGTTGCTTTTTCAACGTTCAGAAAAAGCTTACTTAAAAACTTTCCAACTGATCAGAAAACTTATGTTATAAAATTGAGCATATCCAGTTCTCACTGAAAGATCCAGCATTGCTTTAGCTTTTAAAGTTAATTAGCAGAGCAAATTGTCTAGTGTTTGAGTTTGATGTATTTATACGTTACTGCAGTGTGCAATGTGTTTTTGAAAAGTCAATCTTAATAGGAGTCCTAATTGCAGTGTGATTATTTTCATTATATATAAGACTATTGGTCTTTTGCAAAATAAGGTTTAGGGAAGTCTTTAGAATATTGGCAAACAAAGATGATGGGAACTGTAGGATTAAAAACCATGACTTGCAAAGATTGATTGACCCGCATGCCTTGCTGGTCTTTAAAAAAAGACCCATTTTTCAAGGAACTGAAAAATTGAAGTTGGGTGCTGGTTTTGGCTGCATAATAAAACCCACTGGCCTCAAACCATCTTCTGTTGTATAGTGTGGCTCATGCTGCTTTACCTAGTGGCTTACAGCACCATGGAATTTACTAAATACTTGGTTTTGTGAGGTGACATCTGGAAGACTTGTGCAAAGTGTACTGCTGTTAAGCAAGGTGTTTGCCTATATCAAAAGGTTTACAGATTCTTGCTAAAATGTTTTCCCTGTGCTGTTAGTTTCACCTTTGGGTCTCTAAAGGTTTCCCTTTCATTTGTCTGGGACAAATACCTTTGGGAAAACTCCATCCAATTTTCCATATGTTGCACCTTAAAAAAAGTCAGGCTCTGTGTGAAGAAGAATTTAAGTCAAAATGGTTGTCAGAACGTGATTGTCAGCTTGTTGTTGTAGTTTTATATTATAAATCTAATCAACCAGATCTATGACACTGACAGCTAGCTTGCTTTAGCTTCTGTCTGCCCCCTTAACAGATGCAAGATTTTTCCCATGAGACTAAACACTGCAGAAAAAAGTGAGATATTTTGATGTGGCTTGGCAAAGTTGACATTTGATTATTTCTCTCCAAAAGCATGGTTCTCCTGAAAGATGGTTGAAATGTGGCTTGTTCTTAATAGCAAACTACAATCATATAATCCAGTTTTGACTTGGAGAAAGAGCAAATATAATGCTACTGAGTGCAAATTAAGTATCACTTGACAGTATTGTGTTGATGCTATTTAATTTGCAGGGTGTGCATAGATCGTAGTCAGGAGTCTTTCATCTCCTCTTAATGGTGCATAAAAGCTGCAGAGTAAGGGAAGCTTTCTTTCTCTGTGTTGTCATTTGCTGTTTGGCTTGGGCTTGAACTGGTGTTTGGTAAAAGCTTAAAGTAGCTGGGAATGGAAGAGAATTTTAAAAGGCGTGGGGGTTGAGGAAGGACTAGCTGCCTCTTGTCTACAGCGGAGATAGGTAGAGAGCCTTCCCTCCACGCAGCACTCTCCTGTAGTGCCTGTAACTCTGCTTATCCAACAGACCACTTTTCCCTTCCTCCTTCTGTATTGTTTTCAAGGCACTGTGTCCAGTGAGGACAACTAGCAAAATCATTATTTGAAATTGGTTTGGTTGCCATTTTACACCAATATTCAGCAAGAAAACTAATGCAATTGCAAAAGAAGTGGCCTGTTACACGAACATTACAGATTAACTTTCTCAACTGAGTTTTCCAGGTGGATTAAGGCGGAATGTTTGTTAAACAGAAGTGTAGTATTAATAGAAGTGTAGTATTCCTTGTCTAAAGGAACACCTAGGAAATGAGTTAAAAATTAAAATATCAATTTTTCAAGGCAAAAGAAAAGTTTAATCTGGAGTTCAAACCTTTATAGCAATTAGAGCAAAGCTGTTTGTTAATAGGCAGATATAGAGTATCCAGTTTATACAGAGCCTATTTTGATTATAACCTTATATCTTAATTTATGGGCCTTGCATTGCTTATTTTGGGGAATAAAGTGTAATGCCAGACTGAAATGTCTACTCTTTTAGTGACTGTTGCATTTTTTCAGCTTCTACACATTGACCAAAAAAAACCCAAACCCAACCCCCAAGCAAATTCTGCTCTTACATTTCAATTATTTGAAGACATGAGAGTCCTTTAGCCTTTTTTAGGGCAGACTAGTCAGCCTAGTTTAGTATCTTTACAGACAATGTACCTGGGGTATCCCAGCTGGTCTGTTTTTCTTGTTTCCCCATTATTCCTTGGGTAATTCCTGTCTTTTCTTCTAGGGATCTGATTTTTTTTTTTTTAATAGTATTGTAAAATCAGGTACTTAACTTCATTAATATTGCAGGTAAAGGTGAGGCATTGATTAGTTTAAAAACATTAAATTTATTCTATTTTTTAGGTCATAGTCTTCTTGAAACCAGCTAAAGATGAAAGAAATATTAGGGCCACGAGCTTATAGAAATGTCTGGAATAATGGCAAATTTGCAATGGATGGATTTTGCCAAGATTCCAAAACCTGCTGGCATGGTCAGGTTGAAGGGTGCCCTAATTACAAATTATTTGTGTAACTTGTGGAATAAGTTTCCAGGTAAGACCAGATCTTTGTATGCATTGCAGGCCTTAAGTCTGGCCTTTGCACTGACGTTCATAGTGCCAAGAGAGCAATGTTCTTCACGTGACAGTAGTTTAGTCCAATTTCAGTGAAAAATGTAAGACTGGTTAGTATTTGTAATGATAAACGATGCTTTTCACGCTGTTACTCTGAACATGACGATACAGGTATAACCAGCATCTCAAATTCCTAAAGCCCAAGTTGCTAGTTGTTGACAGTATGCCTGGAAAATACAACTTTTTGTCTTGTTTTTAGAATCTTTCCCAAGATACCTGTTCCTGGCTGTACTAACTGTGGCATAGAGCTGGACTCATGCAGCCACATCATGTGGTTTCTGTGCACATACCAGTCTTGTAGCACAGTACATCCATTCAGATTGTCCATTTAGCCAAGGATTTTTTTTTTCTTTTCATGTTTTTGTTCAGTGCACAACATAAGAGGATCTAAACTGGAACCTTTAAGCCTCATTGCAGTAGGGGGGCAGGTTTTTAAATGTCATTTGACAGTTTTCATCAGTCATTATATTACTGCTTGATGGTAAGAGCCAAAGGCCCTTTGTAGAAGGACTACCAGGAGAGCCTCTGGCCTGCATATCTCTTGCCTTTGTGGGCTGATCACTGTTAGGCAAACCTAGATGTATTCTAGCAGAGGAAAAACAAAAGAGAAACAGCATTACAGATGTGGGAAAATGCTCTTCCTTCTGAAAAGTTTGAGAGTAATTGTGTCCAGCTGAAAAGTATGGTACATGCAAAGCTATGGCTTCTTTAAGGGTTCCTGCTGGTCGCTTCACATGAACCCCATAATGATAACAAGTGGTATTTCATTATTAATTGATTTAGGGTTATGACTCAATACATCCTGTAGCCAGATTTTATTTTTTTTTCTGCATAGGTGTGTTTTGAGCAATAAGATTGGGTTTTAAAAAAAAGACAATAAAAACTTCTGGCAACTACATTACCTACTAAAATATTATAATACAGGGTATAAGGGTTTCATGAAATGTTTCAATTAAAAACTTTTCCTCGTTTAAATATAGAGAAGAAATGCTTTTTCTCAAGCTTTCTATTTGCTTCTTCAGAAAGTAACTAAATTTCCCACTGGGAAGAACATCTGAGAGGCTAATTAGGGAGGCATGGTCAGCTTTTTTGGATGTTTGCTTTTCTAATACAAATACAGAATAAGAAATGTGAACTATAAAGCATATGGTAACGTGCAGCTCCAGAAGCCTTTGTATGGCCACCAGATCCCAGTTTGTCAGGAAAAAATAAACTGTTCTCAACAGATAAATTTACAAACAGAAAATGGATGGATAACCTCGTGGAGTCAGTTTGAAATACCGTGGTTTAACTTTGCAGGAATGAAAGAACTTGACTTTGTTTAGGACTTGCAGCAAGGAGAACTGGCCCAAAGTTTTTAAAGTGTTCTTGCAGAGTTTTATTTCTGTGTTCAAAAGCAAGGCCATTCATGTGAAAACGTGCCTCCCTGATTGACTCAGGACTGAGGAGAGAATGGCTCGGTGAAAAAGGAGGGACAGACTGTAAGTGATGGTGTTAATCCGGTTGGGTTATCAGTCAGGGATCGCTTTGCTGTTCTTACTCTTTTGCTCTCTTCCCTTTTCAACCACTCCTGATGCAGGATGATCCAGGTTCCCAGTAAATAAAAGCTTCTTCACTTCCATAGAACCTGTGCTCACCAGAGGCAGGAACGCAGCAGTGTCAACTGTCAGTGTTACCATTCGGAGGAGTTAATGATAGAACCCAATGTGATCATTGGCCTGGGGACAGGGAGGGTCACACCTTTTTGGGGTTTGGGGGGTTTTTTTGGCAAGGGTATGCTTCAGTTGCAAAAAATCTCTTAAGACCTGTTGTCTAAAGTTAGTTTTCAGTTTTGTTTGTTTTGTTGTTTTGTTTGGGTTTTTTCTTTTAACTGAGGTAGCATTTAAAATAGACAGTAAGGAACTTCTTAATGACCACAAAGTTGCTTTGAAGGATGACAGCCAAGATCTAGTGACGTCAGAGCAAACAAGTTTACCCAAAGGTGATGCTCTTACAAACCTGTTTTTCAGGCTGCTGTATTTAAATTTAAAACTTTTTTCAGTTAGCGTTCTGTAATACAATTGTTTGTACTTTGAACAAGATTGAGGTTGGTTGCAACAGACTTTCTTTAAACAGGTGTAGTCAAAACTGGTTTGTGTGTTCAGGTTTTTTTGAAATGATTGGGTGTTTTTGGACACCCTTCAACAGGGGGTATTTTACACCATCTGTTGGAAGGAAGTGAAGAGGGAAGGGGAGTTAAAAAGGTGATATGAATGAATAAAGGTACAAATGTTGAGGTATTTATATGCTCTTGTTAAATGATAGCTATTGGCATGTGTTTTGTATGTGTTCTAAGCTAATAAAGGTAGATGTTTGATTCTCAGTTATGAACAGATAATCCTTCCACTCCTTTTAGCCTACATGTCTCTTCAGGTTCACCTTGGGGGGGAGGAAGTAAATGAACTGGGTATCGTACTTATGGAATGCATTATTGCTACTCATGATCTAAAATAATTATGCACTATGGTGTCATAGACGTTAGATCTGTGTGATCCTGAAAGTCTCCTCTTTTTGTTTTTCAGCCTCAAAATATCCTACTAACCAGTAAGTCTCCTTTGGGAGACATTAAGATAGTAGATTTTGGCCTTTCCAGAATAATGAAGAGCAGTGAGGAACTAAGAGAAATTATGGGAACTCCAGAATACGTAGGTAAGTTGTTACTACAGGAGTGATGTATAGTCCAGGCTTTTGGGGAGTAAAATGAGAAACTACCTCAATTTGATAAATACCAGAGTGGCTGTGTAGTTACTGTGTCAAAAGATCACGTTGTTACATGGACATGGTACTGCTCTAAAAGGTAGAACTGGCAAGCCTTGCCAGCCTAACGAGCGATAATTGTGTGCTGTGCTGACGATGAGTACGCTCTTTAGATGGTTCTTACCAGGAGTGATAACAAGTATTATTTGGATTAAAATTTCAAAATTGCATATTCACTCTCTGAATATGCAGTTTTAGCCTGTGGAGGTTTGTATCCATTTTATAAAAAAAAAATAATAAATAAATACAGGCCTTGAAAATGTTTGTGAAAATATCTTTAAGTTGTATGGTATAGTTTTATGGGTATGGGTTTCAGTGCTGGAATATACATTGTCAGATATTTCTGATTTTTCTGTAAGAAATTTGCATCTAGCTCCCTTAATTGGGAAGGAGACTGGCCCGGCTTCTGAATATGACAACAAAAGGAAAACGTTTGGTTTTTTGGGGTTTTGTTTTGTTTTGTTTTTTTTACTTAAAACCAATGAATTATAGTAATGACTTAAATAGAAATATATTGATTTCAAAAGACTGTCATGCTTTAAATGGTTTATCTTAAATTTTACCACATGCTTGTTATTGCACTCTATTACTACAATATAATGTCTGCATATAACAAAAAAACCCCCTTTTTTTTTCCCCCATGAATAGCTCCTGAAATTCTGAGTTACGACCCAATCAGTACAGCCACCGACATGTGGTAAGTTGAACAAATTAAGGGTCATCAGAACTTATTTTACTGAAAAGGGTTGTGTTTTGGTTTGTGTTTTTTTTTTTTTTTAATAAAATTAAAACCTGCTTTTCTGTTTTTTACTTTTAATGTAGGAGCATTGGAGTACTGGCATATGTTATGCTAACAGGGATATCGCCTTTCTTAGGGGATGATAAACAAGAAACATTCTTAAATATATCTCAAATGAACGTAAGTTTCTCTGGAGAAGACTTTGACCTCATATCAGAGTCTGCTGTGGATTTCATCAAAACTCTGCTGGTTAAGAAACCTGAGTAAGTAAAATACACAACTGTGTATGCTAATGTGTCAGAATGGATTTGTTTTAATTTTAATTTTTAAAGTATAAGGGAACTTTGATTATTCACATTTCATTGTGCTATTACTTTTCACGTATGTGAAAAGAGAATTCCTCCATTTCCCACCAAACCTGCATATTCTGAATGTATCCAAGTGTCAGTAATTCAAACTCAAACTGATTTCAGAAAGCTGTATATGAATCGTGGCACGTGGTACAGTTACTCACTTTCCTTGCAGGTACTTTGCTGATGTCTTTTAAATGAACTGTGCTTTGAGCCTTTTATGTTTAATGAGTTGGTAGAGTACCTTACTCTTTCCTGGTTCATTCGTGTCCTTTTCTCAATGGGCAGTAAATTGGAAATTCCAGGTCTCAAAATAGAAGTGGTGTTTTCTATGGAACTTCCAGTTCTTCATGGGGCATGTCACCTATTGAAATTGTCTCCTGCTTGTCTTCATGGGGCATGTCACCTACTGAAATTGCCTCCTGCTTGTCTGTGGGAATACTTTAAGAATGTAAGGATTGGATAAGTTTCTTATATGTTAAAAAAAAATATGTATAAACTTTGAAAGTTGTTTGGCAACATGGAAGTGTAAACTGATATTTAAGGATCTGTGAAGTCCTTTATTTTAAATGTTAGCAGTTCATCTCCTCGGGCTGCTGTTGGTCTTTTGTGGTGAAAGTAGCTATCAGCACTTTTTTTGTTTGTTTGTTTTATTTTATGAGTCTGTCTTTAATACCATCATATCCTTGGAATAATTTGTATGGCTTTCTTTTGCAAGGTGCTGGATTTCAAATTCATTTGGACATTTATTTATTTTAACACTTTCCTTTACAGGGACCGAGCAACTGCTGAAGAATGTCTTCAACATCCATGGTTAGAACAAAGCGATAATCCTGCTTGCAGGGCCTGGAATAAGAGTACAGGAGGGGAGACCAGCGACGTCGCCCAGAAAGATGCAGATTCCACCTCTGAAAAATCAGTAGATGCTGAGAAGACTGAAGAGGAAGAATCAATAGTGACAGAAGAACTAATTGTAGTGGCTTCATATACACTGGGACAATGCAGGCAGTCAGAAAAAGAAAAAGTAACTGAGCAGAAAGCCATTTCCAAACGATTTAAATTTGAGGAACCATTGCTGCAAGAAATACCAGGAGAATTCATTTACTGAACTGTGTGGAGCTTCATAGCTATAACTGGAAGGCAGTGTTTTCTACTAAACAAAAATATCCTAGCCAAGTGAATTTCTGATATGCAATAAATGTTCTAGATAAAAGAAAATGTTGATAAATGACATCCAAGGAAAATGTGCCAAGTTTTTAATTTCATGGAACAGATAAACAAGATTGCAAGTGGCTGACAGGAATTTAACAAAAAGCTTATTTTTGTTTGTAATTTTTATTTCTGGGGGTTTTTTGTTGTTGTTGCTTGATAGCAGAGTTTTTGTTAATTGTTCCAGTGTTCTGGAGAAGTTGACATTGGAAGTGTTTCAGTGACAGATGTCAAGAGGAGTATTTTAGGATATGTTTTGGCATTTAATGCAAATATATAATGCTGGGTTTTCCTCAAACACCTTTTAGCACTCCTGACTTCAGTGGACCTATCTACTGATTTAAAAATTGTATGAGAGGAGAATTTGATCAACTGTTTTGACATAGAGTTTTCAAAGTTATACTGTGTATATATTCCTTTGTTTACACCAAGGACCCAGACTCATCTGGTGTACAGCCAGACAGTGAGCTGCGCTTCTCTAAGAAGAGATGCACGTGTCTCACAGGTAAAGAAATAAATCTGTATTGGGGAACAACTCCAGATCACAGTGGTGATAGTTCTTTATTTGAGAGCACAATAAAATCCTGCTCCAGAGGGTGGTGAATTTGCTTAAGTCAGTCACTCTTGAGAGCCAGGGAAGATCGCTCCCTTCCCCTCCCTCTTGTGTTGGGTGAGATGTCCCAGCAGAATCCAGCTCCATGTGACTGCACACTGTTGGTGAATGGAAAAATGAATGACAGAGGGTCTGATATAGCTCTGCTGAAGCTACTGAAGTTCTCTCCACTGACTTCACCATGTTAGGTCAGACAGCTTGTCCAACTAGTGATAAATCAGCCTTCAATTCCACCCTCTCCCCAGAACCCAGCTGGGGTTTCACTGGGAGCATGAGGTCATTTCTGCCTTCTTTCTGTTCCTCTAACTGCTGCTTTAAGGAAGAAAGAAGCATCCTTAGGCTAAATTGCATAACCTTGTTCAACACAGCTATCAGATGAGGAAGGAGATACTGCTTCCTCTGAAACAGTGAAGCACAACTTGTACTTTGTGCGTCCCAATCACTCTCCCTTAGACACCTGGAAAAACAGCATGTGTGTGATGGGGCAGAGTGGGATTAGGGAGCTATATGGATGGGTCATAGTTCTCGATGGACATGGTCCCTCAGAGGACAAAGCTGGGACCAACTGGGCATCAAAATTGACTGTTTTTTGCAATGTACAGGTCTGAGGATCTTGGACCGAGTCCTAGTTTTTGAAGAAATCTTTCCTATTGATGCTGTTCCAACGTTTAATTTTTATGTAATTGAAGTTTAGTCCTATTATATTGCATACTGTTAACTATTCAACTATTTATTTGGTTTCCTTACGCTGTTCCTTTATAATAAACCCTGACAAAAGTTTTCTTGCTATAAAACAATGAACAGAAACTCTTAAGTTAGTTTTTCCTTTTTTTTCCATGTTGCTACATGCTTTCCTAATTTCAAAGGTACCAAGAATGTCTTTATTCTTTTTAGTGACAGGAATTCAGTGCTCTCTGCTAATATTACAGTTCCTCCTTCACAGAAAAGGTAAATAGGTTCTGAATAACACAAGCAGTACTGTGTGATCTGATTAGCATTGCTGTAAGGGGGGGAGAAAAAGCGCTGATAAAGAAGAAAACAGAAAAGCAGTAGTTGTGACACTGGGGCAGTGGGCATTTTTCTGTAGTGCTTCATTATCAGTGGTCTTCACTCGAAGCCACATCAGAAAAATTGAATTTACAGCATTCTATCAGGCTTCTTCCCCTGTGGAATTACATACTGAATATTCATGTAGGTAGGGGGGCTTCTCACTCCTTGAAGATTTTCCTGTAAGAAGACATCCATGAGTACTCATAACTGAGTTTGGATGTGGTTTATATGGCCATGAAGAGATGCCTTTCATACTCTGAAGAAATGAGTCCCTGTTTTTTTTTTCCCCCTCCTGTAGACAGTAACCTACAGACTCCTACTGAGATGGTACCGTGCAAGATGTTCTTGGATAGCTCTGGCTGGCCTTTAGCCAAAGTTGAACAAGAATCTTGGAGCCAACAGAGTATTTGTGTTATCTAGGCATTTCTGGAGGTGGTTGGTAGCTGCATTACCATACTTGCTGACCCTACCTGCAAATGCTGATCTGTTTCAGAGTTTTTAAGCACAAGAGTACTCTTCATGCGCATCTTTCTTTTACCATTGAGTCATTTGCCTAAGACAATTTGCTTGAGGGGACACATTAACTTACAAAATTTATTTCTGCAAGATTAAAACTTCACCTGGCTTCAGTCACTGCCATTTTGACTTGTTTTATTCACACCTGTACTTCCTTGCTTTTATGAAGTTGAGCAAAGCATGTTCACATCCCACCCTTACAAAACAAATGTATGTTGCCATATCTGCATACTAATGTGTAATAGCTCATGGTTGCTCATAGCAAATAATCTGAGGGGACCTATAAACTGTTTCAGTTCTGATTTGTAACCACACATCACTTCTCAGATGGTACTAAAGAAAAAGAGTAGATGCTGAGCAGCACATATTTTGTTCTATATTTACTGTTTTTAATGTATGACAATGAAGCTTAATATGTATCAATGAACTATGTACTTACTACAAGGCCAGCTTCTCTTGAATTGGCTGCTTTGAGACTTCAAACGGGCTGCATTTCTGTGTAACGTTTCGTGCCTTAAGGTGGTTTTTGTACAGTGTTTTTTTAACACCATTAAGAATTTGTATAAAGTTGTGAAAGTTTAATAGCATAAGTTATAAACAAAGGCATCTTAGGCCCTATTAATAAGAAAATTTTTCTCTAAATGTTTAGCTGCAGGGCTATCAGCCAGTCCCACACACACACTTGAAGCTGTTTCTATTCTAGTGTAAGTGGGGGTAAAGCTGTAAATTTTTACGCTGTAAAAAGGGGCTGTCGGGGTTAATGTTGTGGGGAGGCTTAGTTACTAGTAACACATTGAAGACTGGGAACAAATCACTCGCTTGTGAAGAAGAGCTGGTTTGCTGCAGCTCCATGAATCTGAAGGACTGCATGTACATACGCAGTTTATCTGAAAAAAAGCTGCTCATGCCTTAAAGTGTTTGTGGGGAAGGGGGTGGCTGCGCAGGAGGAATCACCTCCTTGTCCCTTGTGGGCAGCACTCTTGGTCCCCACTCTCCAGACCCAGCACCTGCTGCTGGCTGCCTTCAGAATGCTGGGAGCAGGGCTGCTCTTGCTTGGATGCAGGAAGTTGGAAGGAATGGAAATGCAGATGTTCTTAGAAATGACTGGAGAATTGTTATTTCTGTGGTTCTGATGTAAGAAATGAACAATATTTATAGGCAGGAAGGTCCAGGCCTATTCCGCTGTTGTGAGTGTTGGACAACAACAAACATCTCGTTGAAAGCAAAAGCAAAGCCTTGTCTTGTTTCATTGCTACAGTCACCTCTTTAAGCAAGAGGCTATAGATTTTATAGTCATTAAACTAAACATTCTGTAAAATAACCTTTTTTTTTTTTTTTCCTTCTGTCCAAAGCCAAATTCCCATTGTGATTTGTCTCATTTCTTACACCTTTCATTTGAGGGGCCCAAAATACAAAAGGGTGAATTCCAGCTTGTGATCTACCAGGTGACTCTTGAGAGCTGTTAGGTAGGAAATGCAAATAAAAAATACCTGCCTATTCTTCAGTGGTGATGCTGGTGGGGGACAGGGAGGAAGGTGGGCCTTGCACCATGTTATTCCATGACTATGGATATGCTTCAGAGCTCTGCAGTATTCCAGGTGCTGTTCCTGGAAGACAGTTCAACAGTTTAAAGACATAGTGCCAGTTCATTGTACTTCTGATAAGGTGTTTACTGTTTCAGGAACTTTACAATAAATAAAACTTTTTTTTTTTCTGAACAGCTGTTGGGTCTTTTGTTCTTTAAATATTAGGAAAACACTAAAATAATATTTATTTTAAAAGCCCTCATCTTTCTTTAAGACAACATTATTGATTTGAAACAGAATTCCAAAAGTCACACTAGTTTGGTGTAGAATGACTGGATGATGACAGGAATCAAAAGTACAGTGCTGTGTTGCAAACTACTGCAACTCAAACTCTTCTGAGGTCAGTGACTGTTCACCTTCACCCTTGGCTTTGAGTATTAGCTAGAAGTATATTGCTGGAACTGGGCTGTAATGTGTTAGATGGAGTCTCCTCTTCAAATGCCTTTGTTTTTCTCCAAGGACTTTTGCAAAGTTACTTTTCTTAACACCTACATATAGCAGGATTACTGATATTTCAGTTTTCTGAATTACACATTTGTTCAATTTGTGCAGCAAATATAAAATAAGATCAATAATCTTTTCCACTTTGAAGCAATCTGCTTCTGCTGTGGAGATCTTCATGAAACAGCATTTACAGATGTTGAATTAAGCTGTCGTTGGGATTAATAAATACAGTCACATTATTTATCTGGGTGGGTTTTTTTTTTCCCCTTGGTGTATACTAAATCTAGAAACATATTGCCATTAAATTTAGGACTGTTATTTCTGATGTGTGACAGGTGGGAAATGACCTACCTGAAGGTGGGGGGTTGAAAAGATGGTATTTAAAAGCCAAGGAATGGTGCACAGCATAGGATGGCTGTGTATCCAGGACGTGGTGGAGCAGATGCACATCAGCATTAATCCTGGTTTATCAAATCATGCTGAAATGTTGTGCTCCCAAGCAGTGAAACTGTAATATATCCCCTTGGAGGTGCACCATGTCCAGAACTCTGTTATTTGCCTGATGTGACTTCCTATGGGGAAAGTCAGAGCATCAACTAGATGCTGGGTGAGAAAAGTATTACCTCTTCTATAGAAAGGCATTTCCTCTTCTAACACTGCTTAATTTCATTAATTGGTCCTGTTATAAGGCAGCTGACAACTGTATAGCTCTGTAAAAGTAAAACATTTTGCTTCTGTAAAAATACAACCTGAAAGAGTTATAAAACAGGAAAAAAAAAGTCTATATAGCTGTGACAAAAATCTCTCTTAATTAAGACGAGGTTAGGATTTGTCAAAGTGAAGCAGAGCGTTAGGACCACAAGTTACTACAAAATTAGAGGAAAGGGAACTTAACTACTTGAAGGGATTATCTTTTTTTTTTTCTTTAAACACAGAGAACTTAATTGCACTGAGTCTTTGCTTGTTCACACAATCAGAATCACACCTCAGCTGGCGATGCGTTGAAATCACTGTACCCCAACTCTTCAATTAATTTGTAATCCCAGCGTACAGAATTACACAGGTGCCTTTTAACTAATCCTGACAGGAAAATGTGAACTGTTGGGGTGTCACCTTGCTGACTGCTGCCTTCCAGTAGCACCCTGGAAGATCCAGCTGGTCTGGTTGCTGGATGGAAGTTCTTGCCATGGGCCTTACCAAGCAAAGGTATCAAATAAAGGTGCTTGCTTCTAAATCTTCTAGGAAAGCCAGTTAACCAAAACTGCATTAGACTGGTTGAGAAATTACATGATTCTGGTATTTTTTGTATACTTGGTGCTACATAAAATGAACCAAAGGTGTTTAGCCAGGTGTGATGTGTCTTCCAAAGTACCATCAAGAACATGACAGGTCTCCATCGCTCCTGCCTGGGCCATGCTGCAAGGAACTTTGTAGCAAATTTTGCAGAAAAAATGGAGGAACATGATTTTGCTTTGACAAGCAGACAAGATGTAGGCAAATGGCAGGAAAGAACTGGATGCATCCTCATTTCTAAGTGACTAATGCTCCCTGTCAAGGCAAGACATCTGCCCAAGCTAGGAAGTGAACTGACAGGCCCATGGGTTGGACAAAAACATACTACTACCTGAGTTTGGTACTGGGGAGTGCCTGGCCTCTCCTTGCAGAGGCCACCCCTGTGCCCCCCTGCTGCCAGCACCTTGCCATGTACACCCAGTACAAACAAGTAGCTGAGGTGGTTTCACTTGGCTAACAGCCAAACACAGCCGCTCGCTCACTGTCCCCCCAGGGAACAGGGAAAGAATTGGAGAGGTAAGGGTAAGAGACTCACAGGTTGAGATAATAAAAATCTAATACATGAAATAAAACTTAAAATAATACTTATATTAAAAAATAATGATGACAATAATAGTAATAAAATATACAAAGGAGTGATACCCAGTCCATTGCTCACCACCCACCGACCAAGCCTGGCCTGTTCCCAGATCACGATCCCGGAGGAGCGACAATCCCGAACCGAAACCGCAATCCCGGGAGAGCCAGAGCCTGAGCCAAAGCCAGAGAGAGCCAGAGAGGAAGAGCCCCTCATGAATATACTGAATGTGATATTCTATAGTATGGAATATCCTATTGGATATGCCAATTTAGTTTATTAATTTAAATATTCCTTGCCCCCTGAGATCTTGCACTTGCAGACGGACAAAACACAAAGTCCTTCACTTGCAGTGACAAAAATTAAAACACTGGGATGTTCTCAGCGTTCCTCTCCTAACAAATCCCAGCTGAACCCAAACCCCAGCGCTGTTCTAGTTGCAAAAAAGAAACCAGCTCTGTCCCAGCTACAAACCAGGGCAATACCCAAAAGGCAACATGTCAGCCCACTTTCCCTTTATGAAGCTGGTGCTTTTAAAACATCTCATTTAATACAGCCCCTGTGTACTAGTCAGGTCCAACTCAAATAGGTGCAAGCATTGTAACACTCTGCTAAGCAGCATTTATTGTTCCTCAGTTGTAAAGAAGTTCATGCCCTGGACACCCTGCTGCCTTGATAGTTTCCTTGAGGGTGATGACTGCCTGGCAGAAGCTATTAAAATCAAACTAGAGAGTAAGAAACAAACATGTAATCCAGCAAAGGTCATGAACATGGTGGTTGTTTTCGCCACACCAACAACTGGAAAAGGAACTATGCAAATATTCAAGCCAATTTAAAAGAAATTATTTAACATACTTGAAATGATTAAGATGATTAAAGGATTGCAGCACTTGTTAATGAGGCTGAGAGACCTGGGATTGTCCACCTGGAGAAAAGAGGGCTTGGGAGGGATCTTATCAGTGTGTATAAATACCTGTGGGGGAAAAGTAAAGAAGATGGAGCCAGATTCTTCCCAGTGGTGGGACAAGAGGCAATGGGCACACACTGAAACACAGGAAGTTATTTTTTTTCCTGTGGGAATGGTTGAGCATTGGTACAGCTCGTCCAGAGGCTGTGGAGTCTCCATCCTTAGTCATCTTCGAAACCTGAATAGATGCAGTCACAAGCAATCTGCTCTAGTTGACCCTGCTGTGATTATTTGATCTCCAGATGTTCCTCCTGACCTTATCTATTCTGTGATTAGAAAAAATGTCTTTCTGAAGGAGTTTAACTGGAGGTTCCAGGGTGTTTTATCAAAAGATTAATATTTTTTCAATAAAAATGAAATTACTGTCCAGATCAGTGTTAAGTGACAGGTAACACAATGTAATTATAATGAATTAGTGCTTCAATGAGCTAACGAAGTTAAACACAACCTAACCTGCTCCAGTGTCCCTTAGAAGAGAAGAAAAGGGGAAGAGGGGTGCCCAGGTGTCTTCTCGAAGTTATTTAGGCTCTCAGCAGCTGCTGGTGGTTCCAAGACCGTTGCTCTCCCTGTTTTCCCGACATGCTCCAGCTCTCTTGGCTGCTCCTGCTGCACCTGTGTCCTCTCTGAAAGCAGCTGTGGGCTGTGGTGTATTTAATGGGAGCCACATGGCTGAAGCAGCTTGGCACTGAACATACCAGCTTGCTGCTGTTTTTTTCTCCTCCTTTTGAATATGTGTACCTTAAAAAGAGCTCAAATACAGCAGAGGAAGTGGCTTCTGAGGCTCTTCAAGGTCAAGAGGTAAGAAATTCTGTGTTTTCTACTAAAAGGTAAAACAAAAGCAGGGATTTGAATGCTATTTTACTCTTTTCTTACTCCAGTGATCTGCTGGCTTCCAGCTCTACCTATTGCTTTCTTCCTTCTCCAGGTTTAAAGATTTGATTTAGAGAAATGTTGGTAGGACATGATGTCCATGTTCACAACTATGATGAACCCATAGGTTAGTTAGGATGAGCAGGAGTGCTCAAAGTTAAAGGGATGCTCTGGTAGGTCTCTAGAGAACAACCTGTTCACAAGTTCTGCTTCCCCCAGCAAGGTAATAAATTTTCCAGCATTACTGGTAAGGTGTATGTGGGGAATATCTCCCTCTGGCTTGGGATAACCAGGGTTAGAGCCAGCCCAGGGGGTGGTCTTGTGGTGCAGTGATTTGTGATGCCAGACTGGGGATGCTGTGCATGATGGCTCAAGAGATGGGAGGGTGGTGAGAGAACATTGTTCTGCAGGCTGGGGTGGTTGTGGCCAGGTTTCCTAGACACTTGTACCCCTTGCAGCCACCTACTAAGTGCACAGTGGTGACAAATGGCAGCATATGCCAGATGGTCCTAGTACAGAGGTAGGGATGGACTGCCTGGGCTGGGGTTGCTCTCAAGAGCCACAGCTTCGCTGGAGATGGGAAGAGTTAAAGCTGCAGCCAGGGAAGTGATAACTGATGGATGTGATGTGGTTGATTGGACTTTTCTTTGTCAGTTGTTTGGGTCCCTACCAAACTTCTTCAGTGACTGAAAGCTAGAGTTGCCCAAGCTCCAAGACACTGGGAGGCCAGGAGAACTCCACATCTCCCAGGTGGTTTTCTTGCTAGGTAGGCTGCAGTAGTGCAAGGCTAATGTTTTTAAATCACATGGTTTGTGTTTTGTTTTGTGAAACCACATAGCAGTGATTTCAGTCTTAGAGCTGGGACACCCTGTCTCTCCTTGATTCATCCTAATCCCTCCCCTGGCATGGTGGGTATTCATATGGGTTGGATCAGGTCCCACTGGTGCTGTTCATCCTGGGCAGCTCTTTGTGAATCCCAAACTACATCTGGAGTGGTTTGGGTTTTTTTCTTCTAAAACATTTTGTCACAGGTGCTGTTGCTGTGGTTCTCTAGTCTCTCCCTCCATTTGCTTTGGCATATGCTCTTGCAGACTTGTTCAAAAGTACCTCGCCCAGCTTGCTGGGTCATTGTTGAGCAGGAAAATGCTCGCTGGTCTGTAATGATTCTTTGCTCCAGCTCTCCCTTCTCTATCTAATACTCAATACTCTTGAAAAGCTTTGCATTGCCTATGCCTTTGGTGGATCTCTGGGACTCAAATTTGGATGTTGTGATGGGGCAGGGGAAAGGCAGTTGAGTGGTGTAGGCTTTGGGCTTTCACTATCTTGATTAACCTGCTCTGTTACAATAAATCCAAGACACTTTTTCTTCTGGATATTCTTAGTGGCTCGCATGTTACTTCAAGGTATGAAGGCAGATCAGGTACTTGGGTCTCTTCACCTTCTCAGACTGTGCTTAGGCTTTGCAATTTGTCAGAATTTGTGTGGTTTGGGGAGGGAAGGTGGAAATATGCCTTTTTTTTTAATTCCTCAACTTGCTCATGGGGATGGTCAATTTTCTACCTCTGGCTGAGCTGCTGCCTTGACAGAATCAAAGTGGAATCCGAATCTCTTGTTGTAGTCTGACTGAACTGTGTCAGCACCTGCCGAGTGTTTTCCTACCTAAGCAGAAGTGGGGGAGTGAATGTGCTCTCCCAAATTTATGTTGGGCAGTGTTGGTGTGGAATAACAGCTTCTCTGAGTAACCTTCAGCATGAGCATGTGGATAGTGAGACTTCTCCTGGATTCATAACTTACGATGAGTGGTCTTGGCTATCTCATGAGCTTTTTAATGATGACTGAGGGTGCAAATTTACCTGATATATGATTTACTCATTAGGAGTGGAGGGGCTGCTGCTGAGCTTCACCTTCACTGCTTTGTCCCTCCTGCCTTAGGTAACACCTTCTTGAGAAATGTAAAAGAACAGAAGAGGTGAGGGAATAGCTTTGAGTAGCTCAGTAGTCAAGCCATGACTGAGCAGCCCAACTACCCTGACTTTGGGCTGCAATTGTAGAAAATCTCAGTGTCCTCGCAGTTTATTTGTTTATTTCAAATTCATAATACCAGCACACACAGAACGTAACATATGACTTCTCTGGAACAGCAAGTCTTTTGCAAAACATTTATTTTAGGCTTCTGGTGAACACGTGAATAAACCAACAAAAGAAAAAAAAATTACCATTATGATAATGATGAGGTCAATCTTGGAGAGAAAATTGTCTTGAGAGCACCCACTTACATTAAATTGTCACTTGTGACAACTCTGTACATTCACAGACACAGTGGGGTGCAATCGATTAATGGCTCCTTCAGCTCAGTGGGAGGTGGAGAAGCAGCTGCCTTTGATTTTTAGCCTTCTTGCACACTGATGCTTTCCACAGGGGCTTGGTAAACTGGAATATTCTGGCCATCTCGCAGTTTCAAGGTGACATCCTGAAGGCACCAGCTGACACAAACCAAAAGAGATTTTTAACTTGTTTCAATCACTTTTAATATAGTAGTAAAGTCGGTGTAGAAACAGCTGGTATGGAGAAACAAATCATTCCACGCATACATTGCTTTTAAAAATTCTCTCAAGTGTTTTAAAACTTGGTTTGTGAGTGCCAGCTTCAGAGAGCTGTTTTCCCTAATAGCATAGTTCAGTCTTAAAGGTCTGGGATGTGTGTTCCTATTTGCAACACAAATAAAATCCTGCCAGCTATTTTTAGATAGGACATTCCTCCCCCGATCCGGTGCCTTTCTTCCTCTCCATCCTGCGGGTGCATTCCTTGCTCGGCTCCTCTCCAGCCTTGGAGCCAGACCATGTTGCTAAGGAATTATCCTGGCTTGGAGGAGTCTGAACACTGTGTGATCACTCAGTGTGACTGCTGAAACCCTGACAGTGGTTAGTCAAAGGAGAAGGAAAACTGCGTTTGTTGGAGACTGAGGAGGAGGCTTTTGCTTCTTCTAAGCTCTGCTCCAAGCCCACTTCTGTGAGACTGCTCGTGCTGCTTTTCCAGCTGGGAAGGACTATTATTTCAGGGTACTAAGATAGGATTTTTCAAAAGCTCCTGGCGCTCACCCAGCTCTGCTTTTGCTGGAGTTGGTGCTGAGTACATACAATTAGGCCCTCAGGCTCCCACACCTCTGTGCAATGGCTCTGCAGCAGGGCTCTTTGCCCTCCACCTCCAGCCGATGCAGGACAAACTACTGCCTTGTTCAAAATGAGGTTTGAAGGAGCAGCTGGTTGCTCCCCTCAGCATGGCCTGGGGTCTCTGCCCTTCCTTCTGCTTGCTTTGGGGCAGGCAAGTGTCACTTTGCAGGGCTGGTGCCTTGGCTGCCCTTGTCTCTGGGCACCATCCCCATCCCTGCACTGCCTGTGCCTGAGTGAATGCCACCACCACCACCTCCTCCACGTCCAAACCAGCTCACGCGCTCCAAACTTCCCTTTTTGCAATTGCCCTTTTTTTTTAGTAACCACATAAATAAATAAACCAATATGGACAGACTGTGCACTCAGAGTCAGAAGCATTTCAGTGGTTTAGGAGCCACAACTACTCTTGCACAAAGCACTCACCTCCTGGTGTCATTTAACTGCGTCTGGATCAGTCTGGTTGCCTCCCCAATCTATGCTGGAAATGTGGATGTGCACACTCTACAAAGCTCCACCAGGATGGCTTCCTTACATTTGTTATTTATTCTGGGGATTTCAGGAGCTCCTTTTCATGGGAACCAGCCATTTTACAGTCAGTTCCTCAGCTGAGTGTAAGGACACCAAGTCCTGCTGAGCCCCAAGTGGAGCTGTGCGTGGGACTCTGCATGTAAGCAGAGATGGCAGAGTAGGACAGATTTGTCCGCCACAAACCCTTGGAAGAGGGTAGATTTAGATTAGGTATCAGGAAGAAATTCTTGGCTGTGAAGGTGGTGAGACCCTGGCCCAGGTTGGCCAGAGAAGCTGTGGCTGCTCCTCCCTGGAAGTGTTCAAGGCCAGGCTGGATGAGGCTTTGAGCAACCTGGTCTAGTGGAAGGTGTCCCTGCTGCTGGCAGGGGGGTTGGGACTGGATGAGCTTTAAGGTCCCTTCCAACCCAAACCATCCTGGGATTTTAACCTATGATTCAAAGATACATTTTTTTTTTTTTCCTATTAAGCTTGTAGAAATGCATTGAAAGCTCACTTTAAAACAAAACTCTGAGAGTTATGTATACGCTTCAATTACTACCATAGTTTAACATCTTGCAATCTTCAGTTATCTATCCTCACAGCGACTCAGTGAAACAGGAGGGGACTGTTATTTCGTTCCACCTGTGAGCAAGTGATGAGGATGAGTGAGGAGATCAGAGCCCAGGTGCCCAGGGAAGCATATGTGTAGAAGAAAGGTGGCTGGGGACCTCTGGGGATAACTCTGGTCACTAGGGAAGAGGCCAGGTCTAGTGCTGAGCCCTCTCAAGTCCCAGCCTAGTGCTTTCCTCCCCTTACCTCCTACAGCTATTCGGGAAAGAAATACAGTAAGTCATGCTCATCTAATTATGAAAAGAAAACATTACCATATGGCTGGTGGCAGCTCAGCAAAAATGTTGTAGCTTTGGGTTTCTAAATAGAGCGAACAGAAGTGTCTAACAAACTCTGAGAATAAGTGCATGTGAGGTGGTTTGTATCTAATGGAGTTTCCTCTTTTGCAGTGGAAGATGGATTTGGAATTAATGTAGCCATTTTTTGTTGAGATCTAGGAATCAGTTTACCCTTGACAAGAGAGGCTTTCAGACTTCAGCATTACAAACATGAAAAGTCACTACTTGTATGATGTGGAGTCAGAGCATCCTTCTACTCTAATGTATCTGCCCTAGCACTTTTTTAACTATAAAGACTGTGTGTATTGGATAGCTTGAAAAAAATCCTGCATGATTTTTAGCTCACCTTGACAGGCTCCAATGTAATATGTAAGATAATTCCCCTACTGCAATAGATGACACTAGACTCCAGTTAGGACTGCCATTCAATGGCTTTGCACCTTCTTGGGGAGGAGGGGTGGGAGGGGACAGTATGTTACCTTGGCTCACAGTATTTATATACATACTGAGCTATATTATAGTTTGTAGAACACATTACACACAAAGAATGGCTCGTGTTGTCCTGTTTGTGTTCACAGGGATGAATTCAATATATTTCTCAACTAATTTACATTTTTTGTCATAATGCTGGTAATAACCTTTCACAAGACCTTCAGACATGAATTTCCTCTTCCTTTGTGTGCATGATCTCAGCAAGACCAATGACTAAAGTAAATATTCTGCTCCACTCTTTTCTCCTACCACTTCCCTCCCTCCATCTATACATTTCTCCCAGTACGTACCATCGATGGGAGTGGTCCATCTCTGAGTTAATATACAGGTACCCCGCTGATTTTGTTCCAGATACTGGTAACTTTATCTGCAGATGTAAAAGTACGTTAAAGATTCAGTGAAGGATGTTACTGAAATGGACGTTTACTCCTCCTACAGTCAGATGCAACACCTCCTTTTAAACTTAAACCGTAATTTTATGGGTTTTTTAACATATTTCAGAGTTTCACTAAGTTTTTCAAATGGCTAATGTGTGCAGGCCTATACAAGTATGCCTGCTCTGCCATACATTAATCTCTCTCTGCTGAAAGAATGTACTGTGTTACAGCTGCAGCCCCCAGGGAAAACCACTTTCTCTCCAAAACATTTATGAGCAAACACCTTTCCTTACCAGAATGCACAGTGATCCAGGGGTGACCTCACTGTGCTAGAGCTTCCCATAACCATAACAAGCCTGTAGGTTGGGATCCTCTACAGATCAGTCCGTTAACAGGCACCGAGGCAATGAGACGTTCAATGATTTTTCTCAGTGTTACAAATTCTACCACTCTGCTGTTTAAAAAAGCTGGGAGCTGAAGCACCGACCACAGCTAATTGAGCTCTGTCTAACGTTTGAAGGAAAGAAATCTTTCAAGTGTAGTGTTTGCTGGTGGTACTGCAATTACAAAGGGAAAATGCCACCACTCGCCCAGTGGGCAGGAGCTGGTGATGTTGCAGAGTCAGTAAATTGATCTATGACTTAATCACTGATGATGATTAACTAGTTTATTTCATGAGAACATAAATGCTCATGAGCATGAAAAAGCAGAGAAGAAAGTTGGCGGTTTGTGTCCTGGGTGAGGCTGGCAGAAGGCAGGGTTTGACTTCATCCTGAGTCACTCGAGCAACCAGCATTCTTAAAAGGCGATGCAGGAAAACATCAGTGGGACAAGTTCTCTTCTTCTTTTCAGTCAGTCTAAGAAGTAGTGCTTTTTTCCCCACACTTTTGGTCTTACATATTTTGCCTTGTAGAACCTCTAAAACATGAGAATTTGGGAAATGTTTTGGCCCAAGGTATCTGGCTGGAGCGAGATGGAAAGTGGAATTTGATGAGAGTTGGTTAAAGGCTGATTTTTCTTGCTCTGACAGTCCACTCTCCTTCTTCACTGCACCACCTGTCCCACTCCTTACTGCCATTGCTTTGTCCTCAGGACTCCAAACTCCTCACCAGGAGGAACAAAATGATTCAAATGTGATGAGATTCCCTCAGTGAGTTGCCTGGAGAGGTCACTAGGGATATTTTGTGTCACTAGCAAAACCAAGGAAGAGTAGGCTGGATTAAGGGGTAAAAACACTGATGGAAAGTCCTCTTCAGGCACCAACCCAGAGGTGGAAGCGGACTTGTTTGTGAGGTTTGCCTCGCCCCAACCCTGGGCTGACACAGCCTTGTGCAACACTTCAGCACCCAGAGCAGCATTCTCCAGTCACTGTGTAACTCCAGCACTCAGCCTTGTGCCGGGCAGCCTTCCTCCACATCCTCTGTGGCACAGACTCACAAATGCTTTTAAAAACCACACCACTTGTGCTGTGCTACAGCAGAGCTGGTGAGCAGCTATAAATCTCTGTTCTGAATAAAGCTGTAAAAACTAGCGTGGGATGTATCCAGGGAGAAGAGGGAGGCAGCTGCTATTTTAAAGATGGATCCTGATATGTTTCTGAAAATGATTTTGTGGCTTATAGTAGCAGGAGGGGGATTGACTGGCTTGGGAGGTCCCTTGGCATTCTGTGATGTGCCCACATAGTGCAACATGAAGATGATGCTCTTTCTGTTTCTAGTCCTTTGCATTAAAACAGAGATTTATTCTCTGGAAATCCATTCCTCTTCCAAATCAACTGGCATCCCACCCTACTGCCTCCTGGTGCCCTCAAGTCACTTATGACCTGCTGAAAATCCCATAGCTGATCCCTTGTCACCCTGCACCTTGGGAAGCCACCCTGTGTCACCACCTCCCCAACGTTACCTGTGCTCTTTCCGTGTCCACACGGTTGCTCCCATCTGTCAGTCGGATGTTGTGAACCTTAAGAGGGGGAGCACCCAGGGCTTCCAGGGCATCAGGATTGCTGTTCAATTGCTCCAAAGCCTGCTGGTAATACTGGGTCCTGGCAAAACTCTCTAGGTGAGAGAAACAGGGTAATGAGGAGACTGTCCACTTAAAATCCAGATATAAGTTTAAAAAAAAAAATATATATATAAAACAAGACATTTGCTCCAGACTACCACACCCTCCCTGAAAAACACTCTGGAATTATTAATTAGGAGAAATCTGTCTAAAGGAAGAAACACACCCTTATATGAGAGAAGCAGTGCTGAGCTGTAACGTTATTCAGCTCACTTAAGTGAAGAAGGCTCCGAATAGAACCTGTTCTGTAATGATAGACAGTTCAGCTTAAGGCTGTCTCTCCCTGCTTTTCATGTTT